GGTGTGAGCAGGACTGGGTGTGCCCTGTGTGAGCAGGACTGGGTGTGTCCATGTGTGTGCATGACTGGGTGTGTCCGTGTGTGAGCATGACTGGGTGTGCCCTGTGTGAGCATGACTGGGTGTGCCCTGTGTGAGCAGGACTGGTCATGCCCTGTGTGAACAGGATTGGGCGTGCCCGGTGTGAGCAGGACTGGGCGTACCCGGTGTGAGCAGGACTGGGCGTACCCGGTGTGAGCAGGACTGGTCATGCCCTGTGTGAGCAGGACTGGGTGTGTCCGTGTGTGAGCAGGACTGGGTGTGTCCATGGGTGAACAGGACTGGGTGTGTCCGTGTGTGAGCAGGACTGGGTGTGTCCGTGTGTGAACAGGACTGGGTGGGTCCGTGTGTGAGCAGGACTGGGTGGGTCCGTGTGTGAGCAGGACTGGGTGTACCCAGTGTGAGCAGGACTGGGCGTACCCAGTGTGAACAGGACTGGGTGTGCCTGGTGTGAGCAGGACTGGGTGTGCCCGGTGTGAGCAGGACTGGGCGTACCCGGTGTGAGCAGGACTGGGCGTACCCGGTGTGAGCAGGACTGGGTGCGCCCATGTGTGTGAGCAGACAGGGCGCCCCCATGTGTATGAACAGGACTGAGCATGCTCATGTGTGAACATGAGGCGCGCACATCACTCTCATTCTAATTCAGGGCATTAGGTTGTTGCCCCACTTTCTTCAGTGTTGAGGACCAGCACGCTGGTTTCAGTTCAGGCTTTTCATTATTGGTAAGCTGTGTCACCATCCCCTCCCCCGTTTTCAGTTTTCAAACCTGTAATGATCAAATACTGCTTCTCAGTTTTAGCAGGTTTTCTGGAAAGAACCCTGGGATTTCTGAATATAAAAAAGACATTTTGCATCTTTCCTTTTGTCCTTGACGCGATCATGGCTGCTGTCCCGTCACTGTGAGGGACCACATCAAGGGCAACGTATGGGAGGAAGAGTTCATTCCGGCTTCGGGTTCTAGAGGGTGAGAGTCTGTGATGGAGGACAGCTTAGCAGCTGCAGTGGAAAACTCACCAAACTCTCAAACCCTAAACACAAAGCAGAGCCGACTGGGAACGGGGAACTCTTACACTCTCAAAGCCTGTCCCTCTCCTGACACACTTCCTGCAGCAAGGACGTACCACCTAAACCTCCCCAGACAGTTCCACCACCCAGGGGCTGCTGGCATTCAGACCACTTCAGTGCTTCCTCTCCTCAGCTTGCCAGCTGAAGTTGTGTGGTGTAAAGTGGATGGGGAAGGTACTGTGTGGCCTTTGAGCGTGCCGCCCCAGGAAAGTGCTGTTGTTCTGACCTTTGGGTGTAAGTCTGGCTGTGGCTGCCCTTGGCAGCGCTCTCTACAAACCTGACCTGCTTTCTAGTAGGCGCGTCTATTCTAGAAATAGATGTTGGATTTTATTAATCAATTGACTACAATATTTCCTTTGGATAAGTATATTTATGATTAAGCTTTATATAATATTCCCTTATTGTCCTTTTAGTGATGTGAACATTTTTGGTTATGTTTCTTGTGTTCAGATATCGGTGATTTGTGTCATGCTTTATTTTCTTTGTTGATCTGCTAGAGATTGATCAATATTTTAGAACTTCCCAAAGAATCAACCAATGAAACTTGGTTTTATTGACTTCCATTTTTTAATTTTATTATTTACTTTTTTATTTTTTATTTCTGTGTAGCTAATTTTTACTCTAAAATTTACTATTTAACTTTTCAGGTTTAGTTGGATGCCAGTTTGTGTTCACTGAGGTATTCCAGGTAGGGCTCTCACTTGGAGGTCACCATTAGTACGTCCTTGTTAACGGCTTTGTGGACCTGCTCCCAGGGCAGGGGGTTTATTTTCAGCATCATGCTCTCACTTTCAATCAGAATGACTTTAATTTGTCTTGTAGTTGGGTCTAGAAGTATTTTGTTTCTTTCCTAGATATTTTTGATGTTTTGCAGATATATTTATTTCATTGGTTTTATTCTGGTGTGGTGAGAGAACATACTTTATGTGGTTTTGATATATTTTCAAGGTCTGTTTGATGGCCCAGAATGTGTAGACTTTTTTTTTTTTATTTTGATGTCCTCATTTAAATAAGTCTTTTGGTTGTCCTGTTCAGGACTTGAGTATTGTAATTTCCTGTCTGCCTGCCTTGGCAATTGTTAAGAGGAAGATACTGAAAACATTTGTCTGTGCTTATAGATTTGCCTAGTTTTCTGTGCTTGTCTGTCAAGTTCTAACCTTTTCTAGGACTTTTGGCATACAAACAGCTGAGGCACACACATGAAAAGACTTACATTCTCTTCATGTAGTTGGCCTTTTATGCTATGGCATGTCCAGCTCTTATTCTGGTGTTACTGCCTGTAATGAGATATGTGAATAACTCTTTTATTTTGGTTGTTGTTAGTTGGGTATGTTTTCCTCTATGTTTTTACTCTAGATGAATTTTCCTCTAATTATTTCAGATGGGTTTCTTGTAGGAAGCATATAGTTGCATCTTATTATTGAACCTATAATACGTTCTGGCTTCTACTTGTGTTTGAAGATTCTTAAATTATTTTTTTCCCAGTCAATGT